GGTTGCACTGTTTTTGAATCGGAAAAGTTAGAAAAAGCCCAACGTGGAGCTGCTCGCATTATATTAGGACTTCCTTCATATACCTCTATTAATACTTTATATTACAAAACTAATCTTGAAACTTTATCTAATCGCAGAAAACGGAGGTAAATGTGATGTTAAAGAAGACCGTGAAAATAAAGAAATAATAACATAATTACTAGTAGTAGTAAGTATGAAAGAAAGTATGATAGCCCTCCTTTATGAGGACACATGATTGTGAAGATGCTAACCCCGGGGTTCCCCAACCTCGGCAGTATCCTAAATGTGCTGTGGAAGTAAAATGTTTGGGGGAAAAAAGTTACGCACACCTTTAAGGTTACCGGTTATTAAGGAACCCAATATCAAATTACACAGATACAACAGTTCTTCAGACTCTCTCCAAATTCTCTCATAAATATGATGTACAATAAAGGTAGAACTATGTCTGATACCAGAACTATCTGATATATGTAGGGGACAAAACAAGTCTATTTATCCCTACTGTAGTTTAGATAATAACAAATGAACCAAGTGCCAATAAATGAATACGATTAAATACCAACTCTATATGAAATATAGTAGGATTCGCAAATGGATAAAATATAGATCTAGAATTATTCTGATCACTAGGCTCTATGTATCAATGATTAAAGTCAAACTCTACTGTCTGAAACACCAAAAGTACCACCAAAAGTACGCTAAAATAGATGTAAATATTACTAAAATCCCCCGTCCATCCCCTTATCCTAATCTAGGAGTTATTTCCCTTAACCTATAAACTAAACATACTGACAACTGCAATGTTTTGGAACGATCCAAAGGTGTAGTAGCTGCCAGCAGCTCATTCACCAACCTTACCCTAAGAATGTCCGATCGCAACTGATTTCCCAACGCCCCAAGGAATCCCTACGCCCCTGGTAAGAACGCTAACATCAACGGGGCAACGCACGAGCTCAACGGGGCAACACCCGTTCCCCAGCCGACTCCGAAGAGGTAACGGCGACACATCCGTTGCTCGCAACGTAGTACCCGTTGAACCCAAATAAATACGACGATCTACATTGGCACTTGTATGAAAACTACTTCACAAATCAACATTAATATATAAGTATTTCATATTTTTCACATCTACAACTCTTTCGTACCGTTATTCACTCTCTGACTCGCAATCCAATACTTCAAACGCATCCCATACACTCAAGTGACCCCGACTGACACAGTTCAAGAGGTCACGAGAGTTCACAAAATGGCGACATTCACACACACTCGCATCGGTCACGCTCTCTGCAAAACATTACATTTATCGCTCACTCCAGACGGTTTTTACACTGGACTAACGATTAACATAGATAATAAAGGTATTAACATCTGAATAATAACCGTAGTGAACATTGGAAAACACTTTAATAAGAGTAAATACCGTTTGAATGGACATTGTGTTTAAAAACATGTGTTTGACTACTCCAAGATATTTACAACATTTAAACTACAGTCACACTGTACTGGTGGCACCACAGTCAGTGACTATTATTGAACAATTCAGGGAGATATCATACTTCATGACAAACAATCCAGTAAAATACCACATTTTTACAATATATCGTAGGGCTGCAATTATATGCAAACTTCACGATACGATACGTATCGCGGTACAATGCTTACGATACGATACGTACCATGATTCAAATATCTGCTTAAAAGGTCAGCTTCATAATGATTAAGTGCGGGACTTTTTCGAGTTTTGTGATAGAGTTCAATAGTAAATAATATCGAAACACATTGTTGTGTAATTTCTAGTACTTTTGGGTATGACTGCACAGTGGACCACATCTTATGAAAGGCCGTTCATGTCAAAAACGAGATAAACTAACGCGTTAGCATTTACCGCGTTAAACAAGGATTTAACGCGGTTAACAACAATTTAAAATAGTTTTAACGCGTTAAATGCTATTACGTTAAATATACACTTTTATCGCGTTAAATAATCAAAAATATTTTAACGCGATAAAATACTTCCCAAGTTAACCGCGTTAAATGTTGTACTTATTTTTTTAACGCGTTAAAGTGTCATAAAAGAATGGACCAATCAAATGTGCAGTTACATACAGTGTCAATCAATGGCTGACGACGCCAGGACCTGAGTTTTTTTCAGGATATCCTATCAACAGTGGATTACTGTTATCGTGTTGGCATTGACGGGGATGCTGGCACAATGGACACACTTATACAAAGGCGCTTGTTTTATAGAATATTGTACTAATAATCTTATCGTGGATGAAGGATTATTTTGGCAACGAACCATAACCATAATCATAACTTAGGCCTAACGTTTATGCAGGCAAATTCTTCACATTAGTAAAGGTTTCAGTTAATAATTTGTCTAAATATACATCTATCAAAATGCCGATGAACACCAATCAGTACAGCAGAACATTTGACTGAAATGCCTATGTATAAACATTGTTGTAAACACGCCTGAATGACGTCACGCAGCAACATGTGTGACGTTATCAGGCCTTCCGTGTTTTTGCTCAAATGTGCAGGCATTTTCGTCATCTTCAAACGTTTCACTAATTTGCTAGTAATGAAAGTGTTTAAATGTAAGAATGCAAATTTTCCTAAAAATGGTACTCTTTCTGTATAATCATAAACTAGTTGCAGGAAGTAAAACGAAAAATGTTTTGGCAAAGTTTCGAGGTCATAGGGGTTAAAGTTAAATGTCACCGACAGAAAACAAAAAATGCCCAATTTCTCATCAACGATACACCTTTTGTATACACTTCTACGTTTGCAAAGTTGTAAGGTGAGTCTGGTCGCGTGGTTAAAGTTCAGAGTCACAGACACATCAGGCGACTGAACATGCTCATTTTCTCCAAAACAACGTAGACATTTTGTTTACACATATGCATAAGAAAGTTGTAGGTAATTGTGCCAAGATTATTTTGACGAAATTTCAATTTTCTCAGAAACCTAGGACCCATTAAATTTAGTTGCGGAAACAGGCGAAAACAGCTTGGAATTTAATAGCTTCAAAAATTAAACTAGTTCGGAAACTTAATGTGATATATAATATTTTGTTGATAGGTCATATTATTCACATCAATGTAATTGTTTAGACTACAAAACTTGAGGAGAGATGTGGCACTAGGGAAGGCAGAGTTTCTGACCGATGACCAATTTGAGAACATAGTAGCGGCTGTAAAGCCCATGGAACAGGAACTACTGTCTTCTTGTCCTGATTCAGGTAGTGTACACATAATAACTCCGACAGCTCTTAGCAGCTGGTTTACGTAAGAGGTGGTGGGTGCCGGAATGGACCACTCAAACCAAGTTTCTAACTGTTCAATCATTTATGCACCCTCCACAAAATGGGCAGAGGTAGATAGTGTTAACCCTATCTGTCACCTTGGGTACACTTTGCGTTTAGCTCCATTTATCATGGTTATCTGAAACTTCGAGTGTATTCACCTTCAGAGTACTAGTTTGAGGCTTCCCAAAATGGAACACTTTTTAAAGAAAAATATAAAAAAATTCATATCAACTTCTGAAAGACTGTTTTGTTTTTACTGTAATGAAACAATACATGCTTTAAGCCTTCATCTTATGTATTTCTAAGGTATCAACAGCATGTGTGTCTATTTATAGAGCTCATTAAAGTGCGTCAGTTTCACTTAGAATTCTTTTGCTGGTCGAGTACCCAAAATGGAACACTTCATAATATACTATCAGTAAGTCAGTTTTGTCAGCATTTTAATCATTTTATTCATTTAACAAACGTTTGACAATTTCTCACAAATTTTACTCATTTATTCCCTAAAAATAAAAGAAATATGAACAAAAATTTATGTTTTCGCATCGTACTGTTTCCCTTGATTAGTAGGTGATCTTCTTTCATCGCAAGGGTGTAGGGTGAGGGTACCCAAAATGGAACACTTTGATCAAAATGACACAGCAATTGTTATTTTGCCCAAAAAATAATGGTATGTATTCTCAATCAAAATTTAAATGGTTTTATGCATTTTGAACAAAAAGCATCTGCCTACTTCTTAAACATTGCTCATAAAATCAATTGAAATAATTTAAAAAATCCAAGGAAACTGTACGATGCGAAACATAGTTATATCATGGTTTACCTCCGCCCCTCAACAACTATAAGCTGCATTTTAGTTTCACAATGCTGATATGCAAGGACGCATCTGATTGTTTGTCAAGTTTAACGAGTTAGGGCTTAACGCGATAAAAGTGTATATTTAACGTGATAGCATTTAACGCGTTGAAACAGTTTTTGACGCGTTAAATTGTTGTTTAGTGCGTTAAATCCCTGTTTAACGCGTTAAATGATGTTTTAACGCGTTAAATGCTAACGCGTTAGTTTATCTCGTTTTTGACATGACCGGCCTTTCATAACATCTCTACTGAAGGATTCAAAACACACCAGTACACTTTATTAGAGTTTGATAAAAATTGATGGATAATTTAAGTACTGATAGTGTATCACGATGAAGGCAAACTAAACGATTCGATACGATTCACAAGATAGAATCGCGATACGATACGATATATCGTTGCAGCCCTAAATTGTGAAGGCTGTGTGAGGGTGTACAGATCGAATAAAATGAGGATCGTGTTTCCCGGTAAGTGCGGTAGAATAAACGACATTGCAACATGTACACCTAGATTTATACGCTAATATCTCTCCATAAGAATAAAGTCAACAGTGTCTTTCTGTGGGTATCCCGTATCTATGTTACTGTATCTAAATGAACAAGAAGTCGAAGTAGACGACATACCTGGAGTCGTACGTCATGGTCTTTATATCTATCCATTTTTATCGCAGCGCTGTATGTAAAATACTGTAGGATACTTTGACCTTCACAAACTCTCCAACCGTGACTCAAAAAGCGTTAAAACCTGAGCATGCGCATCAGTTGCGATTAAACTCAAATGAATACGCATGTTAATTTGATGAAAGTTTGCAAATGTTGCTAGCAGTTTTGACCATATGTGTCTTTCACGTGGGTAAGTAATCTGTTTATTTCTCTCGTCGGATGTTCATAGATTTAGTTGCCAAAGTTTTAAATCAATCTTACCTATTTTTTCGAAAGTGTAAGCGTCATTGTGAGTACTCGTTATGTTATCCAGTTAAGTCTTTTTAAAACTAATGAAACTTTCATTTAACAGTTACAAACAGAATCTAAAATGTGATATTTAGAAATCATATAAGATGTATGTAAATTTCAGATGTAAGAATAAGCCCGGCATTTGAGACATTTAAGATGTTTGTTGGCAAGTGTTTTGTTTTACCGAGTTTAGAAAACTAACGTTATATATATACCACGCATACTATCACTTGATAATCGAATCACTGTCACAATTATGGTGCGGTAATCACATGACAATCGTGCTGTAATCACATGACAATCGTGCTGTAATCACATGACAATCGTGCTGTAATCACGTGAATAATATAGTGTAACCACATGGAGATCGTGCCGTAATCACATGAATATCGTGCTGTAATCATATGACTAATATATTGTAATCAGATGATTATCTTGCCGTAATCACATGACCATTATATTGTTATCACATGACAATCGTGCCGTAATCACATGACCATTATATTGTAATCACATGACCATTATATTGTAATCACATGACTATCGTGCCGTAATCACATGACCATTATATTGTAATCACATGCCAATCGTGCTGTAATCACATGACAATCGTTCTGTAATCACATGACTCATATATTGTAATCACATGATTATCGTGCCGTAATTAAATGACCATTATATTGTTATCACATGACAATCGTGCCGTAATCACATGACCATTATATTGTAATCACATGCCAATCGTGCTGTAATCACATGACAATCGTTCTGAAATCACATGACTCATATATTGTAATCACATGATTATCGTGCCGTAATCACATGACCATTATATTGTAATCACATGAATATCGTGCTGTAATCACATGACTAATATAGTGTAATCACATGAATATCGTGCCGTAATCACATGAATATTGTGCTGTAATCACATGACTAATATATTGTAATCACATGATTATCGTGCCGTAATCACATGACCATTATATTGTAATCACATGACTACCGTGCCGTAATCACATGACCATTATACTGTAATCACATGAATATCGTGCCGTAATCACATGACAAATACATTGAAATCACATGACTATCGCGTTGTAATCACATGACCATTATATTGTAATCACATGACAATCGTATTGTAATCACATGACCATTATATTGTAATCACATGACAATCGTGCTTTAATCTGATGACTATCTTTCTGCAATCTTATGACTATCATATTGTAATCATGTGAATATCGTGCTTTAATCACATGAATATTATATTGTAATCACATGAATATCGTGCCGTAATCACATGACCATTATATTGTAATCACATGACAATCGTGCTGTAATCACATGACTCATATATTGTAATCACATGATTATCGTGCCGTAATCACATGACCATTATATTGTACATGACTAATATATTGTAATCACATGATTATCGTGCCGTAATCACATGTATATCGTGCCGTAATGACATGAGTATCGTGCCGTAATCAATTGACTATCGTGCCGTAATCACATATTTATATCGTGGCGTAATCACGTGAGTATCGTGCCATTATCATAAGACTATCGTGCCGTAATCACATGAATATTATGCTGTAATCACATGACTAAAATATTGTAATCACATGATTATCGTGCCGTAATCACATGACCATTATATTGTAATCACATGCCAATCGTGCTGTAATCACATGACAATCGTGCTTTAATCAGATGACTATCTTCCTGCAATCTTATGACTATTATATTGTAATCATGTGAATATCGTGCTTTAATCACATGAATATTATATTGCAATCACATGAATATCGTGCCGTACTCACATGACTAATATATTGTAATCACATGACTAACGTGTTGTAATCACATGACCATTACATTGTAATCATGTGAATATCGTGCTTTAATCACATGACTATCGTGCCGTAATCACATATTTATATTGTGCCGTAATCACGTGAGTATCGTGCTGTAATTATATGACTATCGTGCCGTAATCACATGAATATCGTGCTGTAATCACCTTACCATTATATTGTAATCACATGAATATCGGGCCGTAATCACATGACTAATATATTGTAATCACATGATTATCGTGCCGTAATCACATGTATATCGTGCCGTAATTACATGAGAATCTTGCCGTAATCACATGACTATCGTGCCGTAATCACATATTTATATCGTGGCGTAATCACGTGAGTATCGTGCCATTATCATAAGACTATCGTGCCGTAATCACATGACTATCGTGCCGTAATCACATATTTATATTGTGCCGTAATCACGTGAGTATCGTGCTGTAATTATATGACTATCGTGCCGTAATCACATATTTATATTGTGCCGTAATCACGTGAGTATCGTGCCATTATCATAAGACTATCGTGCCGTAATCACATGTATATCGTGCCGTAATGACATGAGTATCGTGCCGTAATCACATGAGTGTCTTGCCGTAATCACATGACTATCGTGCTGTAATCACATGACAATCGTGCTGTAATCACATGACTCATATATTGTAATCACATGATTATCGTGCCGTAATCACATGACCATTATATTGTACATGACTAATATATTGTAATCACATGATTATCGTGCCGTAATCACATGTATATCGTGCCGTAATTACATGAGAATCTTGCCGTAATCACATGACTATCGTGCCATAGTCAAATGTATTTCGTGCCGTAATCACATGACTATCGTGCCGTAATCACATGACCATTATATTGTACATGACTAATATATTGTAATCACATGATTATCGTGCCGTAATCACATGTATATCGTGCCGTAATCACATGAGTATCTTGCCGTAATCACATGACTATCGTGCCATAGTCACATGTATATCGTGCCGTAATCACATGACTATCGTGCTGTAATCACATGACTATCGTGCCGTAATCACATGACTATCGTGCCGTAATTACATGATTATCGGGATTTTCAGTAAATACACCAATGTAATCTGTGCTACATATCAGCATTTGAGATATTACCTATTGTGACGTATAACAAGACAATGAAGTGAAGTCATAGACTTCCAAATAATATTATGATGTCACAATGAAATAAACATTTTTTTAGGTAAACACGGAGTATGTTATAAACAAGAAAAATTAACCAATTTTCATAAGATATACATCATTTAAAGTAAGTTACGTGTGACGTCACTCATCTTGATAATAAATAAGTATTAGTGGTTTATTAGACTTACAGTTCTTTTAGAAAAAATGTTTTGAATATTTATAAATTATACAGTAAAACAGGTTTCGTGACGTGCACTATTTTCGTTGTTGATTGTATGGTCGATATTATTGAGGTGTCCAACCGATTGAAAAATACAATGTGCGGATTTTAGGAAAAGCATGTAGACTCAGAGGGAATACGAAAGTTATAAATACATTTTGTACATAAACGCAACATTCAGCATTGCTCGAGTTGGTAATGTCTACGTATCCCAGTGACTATCTTCCTGTTTTGTTGTTTAGTTTGTTTAAGGTCTCTGCTTGGAGACCATAGGCATATGGATTTTTAACATCGTTAAAGTGTAACCCCTCCCCATTGAGTGCATAAGATAATATCACAGATATATACTGGAGGTGTAACCCGGTCACTCCGATCATCTTACACGCCCTTCACGCTCCACCGCCCGTACTAGAACCATCTACCCGAGTGCCCTTGACAGAGGTCAGCTTTCAACTACATCGCACATCTGGTAATACCAATGTATGTGTGTGTGTTGTACCCGGGGGAGGGTATCCGAATCTAAATTTATCAATTACGCCACAAAATTCGTTCAGACTGGTTTGGGATGGAGTGAGGTTTTCAGACTCCAATTCTTTTCTCTCCGAATGCCTGTCATTTCATTTACTTTTTTACGTTATTATTTTTCATATTTTCAGTCTATCCTTCTTTTTTCGTTTTTTTTTTATACTTTTGCTTTCATTTTCTTTCTTAGTGTCTTATTTTTTTCCCATTCGTTTTTCCTGTCTTTATATTTCCATCTTTCCCAAGTACTTACTATTTGTTTGTGAAAATTTTCCTTTTATCTCTATTTCCTCTTCTTTAACTTCTTTTTCTTTTCTTTTATTCCTTGGCTCCTCGTTGTTTTTTCCCTTGCTTTCTTATCAAAATTGTTTGCTAATTTTGTTTGTTCACATGGTAGAGGGTGTATTTGTATTTAATGTTGTGTTTTACCCTAAACATTATACCTGTGATTTATGTTAAAGTTAAGGTTATATGCTACCTTACACATTATACTTCTGATTTGTGTTAGAGTTAAGGGTATATGCTACCTTACACCTGCGATTTGTGTTAAATTAAAGTTATATTCTACCTTACACAGTAAACCTGCGAGTTGTCTAAGAGTTAAGGGTATATGCTACCTTACACATTATACCTGTGATTTGTGTTAGAGTTAAGGGTATATGCTACCTTACACCTGCGATTTGTGTTAAATTAAAGTTATATTCTACCTTACACAGTAAACCTGCGAGTTGTCTAAGAGTTAAGGGTATATGCTACCTTACACATTATACCTGTAATTTGTGTTAGAGTTAAGGTTATATACTAACTTACACATTATACATGTGGTTTGTGTTAGAGTTAAGGGTATATGCTACCTTACACCGGCGATTTGTGTTAAATTAAAGTTATATTCTACCGTACACAGTAAACCTGCGAGTTGTCTAAGAGTTAAGGGTATATGCTACCTTCCATATGATACTTGTGGTTTGTGTTAGAGTTAAGGGTATATGGTACCTTCCATATGATACTTGTGGTTTATGTTAGAGTTAAGGGTATATGCTACCTTACACATTATACATGTGGTTTGTGTTAGAGTTAAGGTTATATGCTACTTTCCATATGATACTTGTGGTTTGTGTTAGAGTTAAGGGTATATGCTGCCTTACACATTATACCTGTGGTTTGTGTTAGAGTTAAGGGTATATGCTACCTTACACATTATACCTGTGGTTTGTGTTAGAGTTGAGGTTATATGCTACCTTAAACATTATACCTGTGTTTTGTGACAGAGTTAATGGGATATGCTACCTTACACATTATATCTGTGGTTTGTTTAAGAGTTAGGAGTATATGCTACCTTACACATTATACCTGTGATTTGTGTTAGAGTTAAGGGTATATGCTACCTTACACATTATACCTGTGGTTTGGGTTAGAGTTGAGGTTATATGCTACCATACACATTATACATGTGGTTTGTTTTAGAGTTAGGAGTATATGCTACCTTACACATTATACCTGTGGTTTGTGTTACATTAAATGATATATGCTACCTAACACATTATACCTGTGGTTTGTGTTACATTTAATGGGATATGCTACCTTACACATTATACCTGTGGTTTGTTTTAGAGTTAGGAGTATATGCTACCTTACACATTATAACTGTGTTTTGTGACAGAGTTAATGGGATATGCTACCTTACACATTATACCTGTGGTTTGTGTTAGAGTTAAGGATATATGCTACCTTACACATTATACCTGTGATTTGTCTAAGAGTTAAGGGTATATTCTACCTTACACATTATACCTGTGGTTTGTGTTACATTTAATGATATATGCTACCTTACACATTATACCTGTGGTTTGAGACAGAGTTAATGTTATATGCTACCTTATACATTATACCTGTGCGTTGTGTTAGAGTTAAGGTTTTATGCTACCTTACACATTATACCTGTGATCTATGATAGAGTTAAAGTTTTATGCTACCTTACATATAATACCTGTGATTTGTGTTAAAGTGAAGTGTATATGCTACCTTACACGTTATACATGTGTTTTATGTTAGAGTTAATGTTATATGCTACCTTACACATTATACATGTGAGAATTTGTATGAGAGTTAAGGTTGTATGTTACCTTACACATTATACCTGTGATTTGTGTTAGTGATAGCGATATANAAGAGTTAAGGGTATATTCTACCTTATACATTATACCTGTGGTTTGTGTTACATTTAATGATATATGCTACCTTACACATTATACATGTGGTTTGTGACAGAGTTAATGTTATATGCTACCTTATACATTATACCTGTGCGTTGTATTAGAGTTAAGGTTTTATGCTACCTTACACATTATACCTGTGATCTATGATAGAGTTAAAGTTTTATGCTACCTTACATATAATACCTGTGATTTGTGTTAAAGTGAAGGGTATATGCTTCCTTACACATTATACCTGTGATTTATGTTAGAGTTAAGGTTATATGTTACCTTACACATTATACCTGTGGTTTATGTTAGAGTTAAGGTTATATGTTACCTTACACATTATACCTGTGTTTTGTGACAGAGTTAATGTTATATGCTACCTTACACATTATACATGTGAGAATTTGTATGAGAGTTAAGGTTGTATGCTACCTTACACATTATACCTGTGATTTGTGTTAGTGATAGCGATATATGCTACCTTACACATAATACCTGTGAATTCTATAATAGTTAAGGTTTTATGCTACCCTTCACTTCATACCTGTGATTTTGGTTAGAGTTAGGTTATATGCTACCTTACACATTATACCTGTGATTTGTGTAAGAATTAAGGTTTTATACTAACTTACGTATTATACCTGTGTTTTGTGACAGAGTTAATATTATATGATACCTTCCACATTATACCTGTGCATTGTGTTAGAGTTAAGGTTTTATGCTACCTTGCACATTATACCTGTGATCTATGATAGAGTTAAGGTTTTATGCTACCTTACACGTTATACCTGTGATTTGTGTTAGAATTAAGGTTTTATACTAACTTACGCGTTATACCTGTGATATGTGTTAGAGTTAAGGTCATATGCTACCTTACACATTATATCTGTGATTTGTGTGAGAGTTAAGGTTATATTCTTCCTTATACAGTATACCTGTGATTTGTGTGAGAGTTAAGGTTATATGCTACCTTACACATTATATCTGTGATTTGTGTGAGAGTTAAGGTTATATGCTACCTTACACCTGCGATTTGTGTTAAATTAAGGTTATATTCTACCTTACACAGTAAACCTGCGAGTTGTGTGACATTAAGGTAATATTCTTCCGTACACAGTATACATTCGATTTGTGTTAAATTAAGGTTATATGCTAACTTACACTTTATAGCTGCGATTTGTGTTAAATTAAGGTTATATTCTACCTTACACAGTAAACCTGCGAGTTGTGTGACATTAAGGTAATATTCTTCCGTACACAGTATACATTCGATTTGTGTTAAATTAAGGTTATATGCTACCTTACACATTATATCTGCGATTTGTGTGAGAGTTAATGTTAAAATATCCCTTATACACTGTATCTGCGATTTGTGTGAGAGTTAATGTTAAAATATCCCTTATACACTGTATCTGCGATTTGTTTGAGAGTTAATGTTAAAATATCCCTTATACATTATACCTGTGATTTGTGTGGGAGTTAATGTTAAAATATCCCTTATACATTACACCTGTGATTTGTGTGGGAGTTTAGTGAGAATGTAACGATTAGTACTGTATCTTCCATCATTCGGTAGGTTAATGTTAAATTATCCCTTATACATTATTCCTGTGATTTGTGCTAAATTAAGGGTATCCTAAAAAGCATCTTGCACTTCTTCTGTATTCTATCACTGTTATCAAAGCAACCATTCCTGTCTTATATTCATTGGATCGTTAACTAATTTCCTAAGATAGAATACACATTCGAAAGGTTTCCCGAAGTCTGTTCTTTGGAAAATTAGTGAGAATGTAACGATTAGTACTGTATCTTCCCTTAAAACAATCTATCCTGTTACAGACAACTGTTTTTTTTAATTTATATTTCAGCTTCCGGTCAGAAACCGGATATCGTGGATGAGATCAAAAAGGATGTGAAGCCCGTCAACGCCATAGGCTACCTCAACTGTACAGCGGTCCACCTAAATCTAGGGGCAACGGTAACGGACAGTAGACTAAAATATTTACTTATGCAAAATACTAGCCGCTTCCTACCGACTCGCCTATGGAGAATTTCTCTTTAGCTCATGAATAGTAAGCTAGTCTCGTTCAACCAGACGCTTGAGTATTGTTCGGTGTAGCTTGCGCAGACAACAAGAGTCTGGTTGAACGAGACTAATCGTAAGCCAGACGTTCCGCTAGCAGAGGCATTGAAAAAATGATGACCTCTGTTACATTGGCGCTTACGTAGGGACTCGGGAGATATGACACAAATACTCGACGATACTTGGAAAGGAATCGCTATGACCCCTGGAAAGCTCGGGACGAGTTCTTTCCTGGAGGGGGAGTATGTCATCCTGGTTAAAATCATAACCGCTTCCTACCGACTCGGCTAGGGAGAATTTCTCTTTAGCTCATTCGGTAGAATGTAAGACTAGTAAACCAGAGGTCCCGGGTTCGAAAACTAACGGATGCATTCAAATATAATGACTTCTTTTACACCGATTTCAGCAAAATACTTTTGCCTATCATGATATACATGTATTAATACCAATATACGATTAAAAGTTCCGATGATTCAATCCCTAGCCCGTATTCATGAAACCGTTCTGATGCTCAAACCAAGATTCTGTATTCAAGACCAATTCTTCAAACCCTGATAAATTAATAAAACAAATGAAGACTTTTTATCAACTATTTGGAAGAAATTTGGAGAAATTTAAAAAGACGAATGCTGTTTTCAATGTCGAAACTTGCTTTTTTGACAGTGTTACATGATTTAAGCCAATTACAAGAAAGTCAACTTGAGCACAAAATGTATGTTTCATATACGTTCCTCGATTCTACAGGAAACTATGGCTGGAGTTCTTGGTTTTGCCAGTGGAATTTCTTTTGTTTCAAGAACGTTTATGAATTAGGGGTCATTTTTTTTTTTATCTATTTCACTTTAGAAAGATTTCAATAAGGCAGCTTATCTGATATTTAACCTTTGGCGAATTAGTTACTCCTGTGATAGATTGTTTGAAGAACAATTACGAAAATAGTTCACAATTGTATTTGCAAAAACAGAATTGATTTGTTTTCTGTGTTGTTCGTCACAGGTGCACTGGGCTAAGATAATATACAATGGAGACGAGATGTCCACCGTAGACCTGAGTGAGGACGACAAGGTGGTCCTACAGAACAGCGCTGCCATGGGTACGTCCCTGTAATAACATGTAGTCAGGGAAACGGCAGACATTACACGGAAACCACATATTGCAAACTGGACCTAGATATATATATTATCACAGGTGTTATTTATAAGTTATTTATGCCATAGAACTAGTAATCAGTCAGAGTGTTAAAAACTGGATTGGAGTCGATAAATTTAGGCCTTTACCTGGAATTACCCAAAAAGCCACATTGTGGCTTAATTCCAATGGGGTCCCTTTGTCCTTGATACAAGATGATTATAAACGAGTTTGATAAATTCAATATGACATTGGTGTCGATGTGATATATGTACACGAGTTAAATAATTTCAATATGACATGGACACGAATGGAAGATTCTATTTATCACATAACATTCATTATTTAAAAAAAAAGAACTCCAAACACAAGTATATGTTATCAGTATATGTTATCAGCTGACTCTATAAAGGTCAACACCAAAGTACTCCGATCATAGTATTGTCGTTCCACGCAGTGCAAAGTAGTTACAGATTTTTTTTAAAATAATGAACAGTTTTAAATGCAACGAAAATAATAATAATAAAAAAACATTTCAAAGTCATTTAGTAGCAAAAACATAAAGTTTATCAGAAATATAATGTTAACACTTAATCAAGTTTATAGTTTGTTCACGGCACCTTCAGGTTTAATTACCCGTGTGTATTACGATCGTTATGACACGGCCGTGTGACGTAGTAAAATGGGTCAACGGTGTGATGAATATACTTATTACTGTATTACAAGTTATCTCCGCAGGAATTATATTTTTGGTATTATTATACCTCCTTTATATAACAGCGTGTTTGATTGGATCATATTGATTACATGGCGGGAAAATAAAACACCATGTCGTACTCACGCGCTCCAGTTCTCCTGATCATATTTCTCATATTCCATGCCTTTGTAGAAAAATGCGCATGACTGAAGCAGACGATAACAACTGCGCGGCAACTTATCATCTTATAGCTGATAAAATAAAAATAAAACAGATAATTTGAACAAAGAAATTCAGAGCAAATCTTCCACCTTGTAAATTTTTTGTTGATATCCCTTGACGTAAATCCTGATATCTGATTGGCTGATTGCCTTGACAAACATTAGTATGGGTGTACTCGATTTACTTTGAACCGTCGCGTATGACCCTGATTATTTCGGCTTCACATCCTTAATATTCATTACATAGAAAGTAAAACATATGATAAACCGACGTACAACACGGATGTATTTATTGGTATAAATTGTATATTGATTGTCATTGTGGTAGGAAAACAAGAGTCGTGTATCCCTACAACAAGGGGCATATATATATTACTCATCACTGAACATACACATGGACATTTGTAAAGGTGACCGCGGGAAATATATCTGTGTAATGGAACCAGGCTTGATACAGATAGCCATTAGCAGCGCCATCAACACTAATAAAAACCAGCAGTACCCGTTCCGCTGTTCGTGCTGCCTAGTGCTACAAGTGTGATCGTTTGACATAGATTGTATTTGTAATATTTAATGCTACTGCTTTTTTATTATCAATAACAGCAGTGACTTCCACAAGGTATTTCAAACGCAAGAGAATGGACTAACTTTGTGCTGAGAGAGAAGATGAAGTAAATAAGCTTAGAACAGTATTAGAAAAAAGAACTGAGGTTTTAATTTATTATTGGGAGGTATCTTATAATGTGAACTATTCACAGGTTTATCGATTTCCCGATTATCTCCCTTTGGTTAATTGCTGAAATCAATTTCTAGGTAAAAAAGAAGATCTGGGTGAACCTAAATACGGCGTCTTGGTGAAACATGACAAGCTAAGGACGACCTTCATCCTGCTGGTTCGTTATCTCCTGGAGAAAGACGCGGGAGACTACATGTGCTACATCAAAATACAAAACACGGACCATTCTGATTGGCCCAAGAAAATCGGAACGATTGTCGTGCAAGGTGAGGTCACGTAAGGTCATCGGTCGTAAGAGTTCATTGCAGTTCACAGGGCATAAAAGTTCTAACGATGTTATACAATATCTATTACTAAAATATAAAAAAAAAAAAACAGCGGCCGTCTTGGATTTTGCGGCCATCTTTTTAAAAATCTGCTTGGCCCCATATCCAAAATTGATCAGTACACTATCCCCTACATTCATGCCAAGTTTCATGCTTCTCTTAAAAATCCCACAATTATTCACCTATCTACCAGACTACAAATAAAGTTATTAAGAATATGGTTAGATGTCATACAGAAAGATAAAATTGAATATATTTCGGTTGTTAGGTGTTCATCCTTGCCTGACAATGACATTGATCTGTCTATATCAGTGGTTTGTCCTAGTATCATGGGTTACATTTGACCTTGACAATGTGACTGTATTATACAATGTAGTGGCGCCTACCATCAACATCATCGGTACAAGCGTCTACGAGGCAGTGATTGGCGGGAATTTGACGTTATCTTGTTCAGCATACGGCGTGCCATCCCCAAACATCACGTGGAAACGAGAGGATGGAAAAGAACTGGCTATGGGTGGATTCCAGTACTGGGTTTGTACATTATAGGACTATATGATAGAGAGCCAATTAAACTGTGTATTCAGTGTAATACATCGCCAATACACAAGGACAAGCGTAAGAGTCTCGCTAAAGGAAATAATCGTAAATTCGTTTCATAACTACATGTAACATATCAAAAGATCCTTTCTTAACTGAGCCTCAAATATGACACTATTTTTGTATGTATTAATGTTTCCGTGGTAAAACCCTTTCCGTAGGCTTATATCTGTTTTGTTTTTTGTTGGGTTTTTTCGAGATGCTGCAATGTGCCGAAATTTGAAAATAAAAAGTTAAGATAAATAGTGCGTTCCTACGCAAGGAATCTATACTCTTCTGGATTATCAGGGCCCGTATTCATGGAACCAAGCATGGATTCCGTGCTCAAGTCAGCTTTCTTGTAATTCGCTTTAATCATGTCACACTGTCGAAAGTTCAAGTTTAAACATTGAAAACAGCATTTGGCTTTTAGTTTAACTTTCTTCCAAATTAAAAAAAAAAAAAATCATAATTTATCAAGGGTACAATAATTGGTCTTGAGCACAGAATCTTAGTTTGAGCATGAGAAAGGTTTCATGAATACGGGCCTTGACTTCGAATTCGTCTCCAGTGTATTGTATAGGGTAACGATGTCTACCTTCTTGTTGTAGTCTTTTGACTTAAAGCGCCGGTTTTGTCTACATATGCTACCGCTTTAAACAGATCTGCTATTTTAAAGGGAACCCAGACATTCTGATTTTACTACAACGACTTTGTCTATATAGGGGGCTACTCTTGTGCTAAGGGACATAGCGAAAAAGGACCAGGGAAATCACATCTGTGTGGCGGACAACTCGGTCAGACCACCAGCTAGTTACACCGTCCAAATAAAGGTCTTCTACGCCCCAACATGTCGGGCCGTCCAAAACTCTGTCGGACAGGTTCAGAATCGACGCTATGACGCCAAACTCGAGTGTCTCGTCGAAGGTATGTAATACCAATACAACAGATGTTTGTTATAGAGCCGACGCTTTGACGCCAAACTCGAGTGTCTCGTTGAAGGTACGTAAAGTGACGCTTTGACGCCAGACTCGAGTGTCTCGTTGAAGGTACGTAAAGTGACGCTTTGACGCCAAACTCGGGTGCCTCGTAGAAGGTACGTAAAGTGACGCTTTGACGCCAAACTCGAGTGTCTCGTTGAAGGTACCTAAGGTGCCGCTATGATGCCAAACTCGAGTGTCTCGTTGAAGGTACCTAAAGTGCCGCTATGACGCCAAATTCGAGTGTCTCCTTGAAGGTACCTAAAGTGCCGCTATGACGCCAAACGCAGGTGTCTGGTCGAATGTACGTAACAATACAACGGACGTTTTTTTATAGAACCGACGTTTTGACCGAGTGGTACAGGCCACAGGTCGCTGGTTTTCTCTGGGTACTCTGTTTTTCCACCACCAGCAAAACCTGGCACACCCTTTAATGACTGAGCTGTTTATAAGACGCAAAGCATAAACCAGACCATTATTGGAATTGTATGAAATACCTGCTGTTTTCTATACAAACCAAGGCTTTGGTGCCTAGCTCAGTGTCTTAATCTGATGTTTAGAATAGCCGGAAAGGTTTAATTGACAAGTCAGATAATTTCATTACGTTGCCTCGGCTAAGGCTTCAACTCATTTAGCGGCTTTGCAATCTATTAATACAAATCTTGAAACGCCGTCAGTGACCTATGAATCCCCTAGCACAGTCGACCTAAGTTGACCACCTTATCTGACCTAAGTTGACTACCTTATCTGACCTAAGTTGACCACCTTATCTGACCTAAGTTGACCATCTTATCTGACCTAAGTTGACCACCTTATCTGACCTATGTTGACCACATTATCTGACCTAAGTTGACTACCTTATCTGACCTAAGTTGACCACCTTATCTGACCTAAGTTGACCACCTTATCTGTCTTTGCTGAACCCCGCTCTGTCCCGTTATCTGATGCAGTTAGCCTACGATCTTAACCGAGGTTAGAGAAAAGATTAATTGCTTCAAAGCTCGAGACCAGGGCCCGTATTCAGGAAACCGTTCTCATGCTCAACCATGGAGTTTGTGCTCAAGCCGAATTTCCTGTTACGACTATGGATTACTAAGTAGATCTTATTTTGTCAATGATTTGGGAAATATTGAAGAGACTTAAAGACGAAAACTGTTTTCAATGTTTATGCTTGCCTTTTTGATTGTTTGATATGATTTAAGCGAGTTACAAGAAAGTTGGTTTGAGCACAGAAGCCATGCTTGAGCACGAGAACGGTACATGAATACGGACCCTGGTCCCGGTTTGCGAAAGGTTGGTAAGAGTAAACCAGTGGTGAGGGGGCAAACTTTTCAAACTTGAACACAACAAAATCAAGAACAGCTGACACCATTTCACTGCTATAGATTTGTTAGACAGATCAGATTGGTGTGGTTTGAGGATTAAGTTTGCGTTGAAAGCCCTTATTTTATAGTGGCAATAATAAACCACTGGTCAAAGTTATCCAACCTTTCAGTAACCGGGACGTGGTACTTAAAGTCGTGCTGGTACCATATCAAGTCGCCGTAAATGTGTCACGACTTGATGAAAAAACTCGAGTAATCAACGTAGGTTAAAGATGTAGGGAATAAGAGTTTAATGATCTCGGAGAAGCATCTCAAAGCAGTACTTACACTTCCTTGTGCTTAAATGAAATGCGCCAATACTCTTAAAATCCGACAGATACTGCAAAACAGAAGAAAATGTATGTCGAGATATTATTTTGAAAGACATAGTACTTTCAATATTTGATTATGTCAATGATATATACTTAATTTCACTTATAAAATTCCTTTAGCACATAATTGAGCGAATTAACACTGTCAATTAACACCATGATTTATATGTAAATTGTACTATATATATGTAGATGTAAATTCTCTACACTGTAACCAGTTTGCGAGAATAAAAACTTGTCATTGTCATTGACCCTGAAAGCCGTCCTTCCTTTTTGCTCGTCTTTGATCTTAATCTGGTGATTTCTGTTCATGTCTAACGCTGTAACGTTCAATCTTCCGTCAATTCATCTAAACTCCCGTCAATATTGGACATACGTCTTTTATATTCCTGTTGTTCAACTGTCTGTTATCCACACGTTAATGAACCATCCTTCTCGCGCAAAAGTACACCATTGACGTCATTTTGGAGTACATATATTTGTGTGAGTGATGTTCACCTGTCAATAGTATATTTCGGACATACAAGTATATGACTGAGGCCAATAAAAACGAAATCTTGTTTCCGTTAAACCATCCTCGATATCCAGGGGTTACGCTCACTTTCGCTCTCTGCACCCCTGGAATATGTCATAGCAAAATTGAAGGCACGAACATAGCTGTTTGATTGTTCTCAGGTAAAAGAAAACCTAAGCAATCGCTAGGCTGATACCTGTCCTTTGAGGATTACAAAGGTGAGACCGTACCAGAGTTGTCTTATTTCATCTCTATAGGGGTGTCGTGTATTTTAAGTACAAAGAAGCGTTGGAATTTTAGATTGAATTTTTTTGCAAAAAAACTATAGTCATAATGTACCAAAATGGTAACATGGTCGTCTGCGTGACGTAATCGGAACAATTTTATATCTTACATCATAAGTATATATTAAACAAACGACAATTTTCCTTAACAGAATTCGGGACAATCAGTATCATTGTGATATTCAAATATTCTGCAGGTCATCCTGAACCACACATGTCCTGGAAACGATACGAAAATAATGAACGANAAATACCATCCTGTCCTCCCATGGTCGGTAGACTAAGGTTACATACCTTCCTGTCCTCCCATGGTCTATAGACTAAGGTTACATACCATCCTGTCCTCCCATCGTCTATAGACTAAGGTTACAT